CCGGGCTCTGCTTTCAGGCTGAGGAACTGGCCCCCGCCGTGGACTGGGACCAGGTGTCGGCTCATCCCCCCGCCTGCCACGCTCCCCCACAAACCTTAATAAGGGCAATACAGTGGTCCCCAGCTCACCCCCGCCAGGGCCTGTCCCTCCGGGAGACCCTTGTGGCCTCTGCCCCTGCCACAAGCTCTGCTTCTATCCCACACACTCCGCCAGCCCCACTGGGCTCTGCCCCGAATACCCCCCACAAGCTCTGCTTCTATCCCACACACTCCGCCAGCCCCACTGGGCTCTGCCCCGAATACCCCCCACAAGCTCTGCTTCTATCCCACACACTCCGCCAGCCCCACTGGGCTCTGCCCCGAATACCCCCCACAAGCTCTGCTTCTATCCCACACACTCCGCCAGCCCCACTGGGCTCTGCCCCGAATACCCCCCACAAGCTCTGCTTCTATCCCACACACTCCGCCAGCCCCACTGGGCTCTGCCCCGAATACCCCCCACAAGCTCTGCTTCTATCCCACACACTCCGCCAGCCCCACTGGGCTCTGCCCCGAATACCCCCCACAAGCTCTGCTTCTATCCCACACACTCCGCCAGCCCCACTGGGCTCTGCCCCGAATACCCCCCACAAGCTCTGCTTCTATCCCACACACTCCGCCAGCCCCACTGGGCTCTGCCCCGAATACCCCCCACAAGCTCTGCTTCTATCCCACACACTCCGCCAGCCCCACTGGGCTCTGCCCCGAATACCCCCCACAAGCTCTGCTTCTATCCCACACACTCCGCCAGCCCCACTGGGCTCTGCCCCTTTGCCCTGTCTGTGGCTGTGTCTCAGGAAGGGAAGGAAACCCCGCGCCACATGGAGCTCAGCGGGTTTGTGGCTCTCCCAGCCCACTCCCTCCCCCACTTCAGTGCTCCTGCCCCTTGAGAGGGAGGGGCTGGCCACACTCGGCCACTGTAGGCTGGGGCGGGTTTGGCTCTAGGATCCTGACGCCTCCATCCCTCACGGCCACAGCCGCAGGCTGAAGGCCACTGACTCTTCCGCCGTCTGCAGCTTCCGGGTCCCAGGTGGCACCGGGGGCAGGCGGGGCTCTCTGACCGCGGAAGGGCCCGGGCTTACCTGCAGGGAGGTGCTGTTCTCCGAGAAGGGGGAGCTGAAGAAGGCGTTGATAGTGTCCAGCACCACAGTGAGCACGTACTTCTCCAGGGCGGGGTCCGTCAGGCGCTTCTCTCGCTTCTTACACATCTGCGGGGAAGGAGACGCGGGTCGCTGCACGCCGGGGCGAGCGCAGCCCTGGCAGGCACGGACCCCGGGCTTACCTGCAGGGAGGTGCTGTTCTCCGAGAAGGGGGAGCTGAAGAAGGCGTTGATAGTGTCCAGCACCACAGTGAGCACGTACTTCTCCAGGGCGGGGTCCGTCAGGCGCTTCTCTCGCTTCTTACACATCTGCGGGGAAGGAGACGCGGGTCGCTGCACGCCGGGGCGAGCGCAGCCCTGGCAGGCACGGACCCAGCCCCGGGGGGCACGCCCGGCCCAGCCCCTGTCCCTGTGTTCCCACGGGCCAGCTGGGCTGGAGATGCCCCTGAGCGCAGCGGGTGTGTCCGCCCCACAACCCCTGAGGGCACTGTCCGGCGTGGAGCAGCTCCTTGCTCCGCCACGTGGCACTGTCCCTGACATCCCAGTGCTATAGCACGCTGGGCTCTAAGCTGGCTCAATAGCCCCTCGCACGGGGCCCAGCCTGCTTCTAGGCTGCTGAGAAAACCAGTGGAACATCCAGCAAGTAGAACCTCCTGGTGACCACCATGCCACGGAGGAGCTGTCAGGGGAAGCATCCCCTCCCGCCCCCCCAGGATCCCCCCCAGGCCCTGCCCCCCACCGTCAGTGCTATAGCACGCTGGGCTCTAAGCTGGCTCAATAGCCCCTCGCACGGGGCCCAGCCTGCTTCTAGGCTGCTGAGAAAACCAGTGGAACATCCAGCAAGTAGAACCTCCTGGTGACCACCATGCCACGGAGGAGCTGTCAGGGGAAGCATCCCCTCCCGCCCCCCCAGGATCCCCCCCAGGCCCTGCCCCCCACCGTGGCCATGCTTCTAGGCTGCTGAGAAAACCAGTGGAACATCCAGCAAGTAGAACCTCCTGGTGACCACCATGCCACGGAGGAGCTGTCAGGGGAAGCATCCCCTCCCGCCCCCCCAGGATCCACGCCAGGCCCTGCCCCCCACCGTGGCCATGTCGAGGATGAAGTTTTCAAAGAGGGTCCAGATGTGGTTGCTGGTGTAGATCTCCTTCATTTCCACCTCGGTGTCCACGTAGCAGTGGTTGACGAAGTTCACATAGGCCATCTTCACCTGCAGGGGCAGAGCAGGGGAAATCAAGCCCCTGCCCGGTGGTACATGCCACTGCCCCCCTGCCCTGCGAACCACACATGGCCCGCGAGGACGGAGGGGCACAAAAGGGGGTTCAACTTGAAGCACAAGAACCCTCCTCTGCTCCCTGCCCCTCTCCCCCTTTCTTCACTCTGTACCATTATCACAGCATTCCTCCCTCCTCCTCCCCTCTCCATGCACCGTTAGGAGACCACAATCCCCTGCTTTCACCTTCCCTTGTCTCTCCGTCCCCACCACAAGCCCTTCACTCTCCAGTGTGCCCGCACCTCCAAGCTCCTCCCCCCGTCTCCCTGGCTGTACCCCCCGTACCTCAGTGATGCAGTCCTCGTGTGTCACCACCCGCACAATGTCCTCCAGCGGCAGCAGGGACGTGCACTTGATCTCCGTGTAGACGTTCTTGCCCTCTGCGCAGGCGGCCAGCAGGTCCACCAAGGAGATGTGGTACATGAGGGGGCTGTTCTCTTCCACCCCCTCCCGGGCTGCTGTCATCATCTCCAGCATGGTGGCCAGAGACGCCTTGTCATTGTAGAAGACCACCACGTCATCCCCAGCATTGGTGAGCTGCGAGGAAGGAACAAAGGTCATAGATCTGTGGCAGAGGGGATGGAAAAACCTTGCAAGGCAATCGCCCACTTCCCCTGAAACACAGCCAAAAGGGGCCACAGAGGGATTAAAGGAAAGGGCATTTACAATGGAAATAGGGCATTTTTTTCAACACAGCACAGATATGACCAACCTGCAGAACTCCCTGCTGCAGGATATTACTAAGACAAGCAGCCAGTAATCTTAAAATCGCCACTGTCTTTGGAGCCCAACTCGAGACACATTGGCCCGGATTTTCAAAGGTGCCAAGCACCTGCCGCTCCAGCTGGAGCCAACAGGAACAGAAGATGCTCAGTACTCTGGAAAATCAAGGGTCTGAAGCTGGGTTCCTAAAATCGAGGTGCCCGAGGATAAGAGGGCACAAATCCACCACGCACTGGTGGAAATGGTGCAAGCAAGAGCTGCGAGCGTCGGGTTCTTAGCATGGTTTCGGATGTCGTGTGGACAGACATGTTCCTTCTGCGGGTGGGAACAGCATCTGCTCAGGCTGAGATAAAATGATACGGGTTCTTGGCCCGCTTTCTACATCTCCTCTAAAGGATGGTGCTTCCAAGAGCGCAGTGCCCCCTCGCAGCCAACTGGGGCCCTGGGATCAGCACCGACCTTCTTCTGAGCCCCCACCCTGCTCCCTGACATGGTCCATTTCGCTGTGTCTGTCTCTCCCCCCTCCCCCACCTGCCATGCACAGACACAAGGGGGGGGGTGCGGCTCTCACCTCTGTCATGATCATGTCCTGGCACTTCTTGACGTACTTGCCCTCGGCCTTGATGATGCTGTGCAGGAAGTCGAGGTACTGCACGTGGCGGCCGTGCGTGGCCAGGCAGTGCACGAAGTGCTGCAGCACCGTCTCGCTGATCTCCGAGCACAGCTGGTAGTTGTTCAGGAAGATGTGCTGCATCGTTTCGGCCTCCAGGAGCTGCGGGGACGGGCGGCAAGAGACGCCGGCGTGAGGCTGGGGGGCAATGTCGAGCTCCCAAATGCCCAGCTGCACCCCCAGCTCCTCTGTCCGTCCCCCCCAACCTTCTCCAAACACCCCTCCCCTTCCTCTTCTTCTCTGTTCTCCCCTGGACCCTTACCTACTCACTCATTGGGACTCACAGCCTCTCGCCCAAGCGACCCTCCTTCCCGACAACCCTGCAGGATTGGTTAGAACTTTCCTCCTCCCTTGTTGTCAGGAGTCTAGTATGTCTTTGCCACCCTCTAGCAATCACCAGATTTATTTGCTGGCTTGTCCATCAGCTTTCCCAGCATCTGAGCCTCCCGGACATTTGTCCCTTAGCCTCACAACACCCCTGTGAGGCAGGGAAACATCCCCAATCTTTGAGATGGGGAAACCGAGGCATGGGTAGGGAAGTGACTTGCCCAAGGTCATCCAGAAGACCAGTGCCCCACCCCCCCCCGCCCAGGTCTTCTGAGCCCCAGTCCAGTACCTTTATCACAAGAGAGCAAGCACCACATTGAAACTCCCCCAGGCTGGCCAGCAGGGGAGAGGGACCAGTGTGGGCAAGATGTCACACCAAAATCAGCCTCTTCCATCTCTACTGTCCCATCTCTCCCCCAGCCCACTCCTCGGGCTCCGTGTTGAGCTCTCCCAGGGGCAGCTCCTCTCTTACCCCCGGGGTGAGGAACAGGTTGAGATGTTTGTGCAGAAGGGCCTGGTTTCCTTGGTTCCCGGCACAGAACTTCTGCAGGAACTGGTGGGTGTATTTCAGAATCTCCAGCATCTTTGCATCGCCCTGCGTGCGGGACAGCAGAGAAGAACATTACAATGAGACGACCTCTCGAGGTCCCTTCCAGTCCTATGACTCTGTGATTCATAATTGCCATCTACAAACCTTTCCACCAAGGATCTCAACTCACTTTGCGAGGAGATCCCCATTTGATCCCCATTTTACAGAGAAGGGCACTGAGGCCTGGGGGAGAGGAAGTGACTTGCCCAGGGTCATGCAGTGAGTCAGTGGCCAAGCTGCCAAGAGAACCCAGGAGTCCCAGTAGCCAGTCTGCTGCTCTAGCCACTAGGCACACTGCCTTGAGGCCTCCAGTATGTAGGAAACCAACTGGCAAATCCAGAACAGCATTGAGTGACTGACTGACCACGCAGTGAGATATTCCAGCGGCATGAGCATGCCCTGGGACTGCTCCCTTTGACTTCCCCCCTCCCCCTCCGCTGCCATCCCTGCCTTCCTGCAGCACTGAGCGTGGGAAAGTCCCGCCCTGCTTCTGACTCTCCCACCTTCTCATAGGGGATCTGCAGCAGGTCCAGCATCACTTTGTGGGCGTCCATGTTCTTCATCAGGCGCTGCTGCTTCCGGCGCACCTGCTCGCCCACCCCGCACATTTTATTGAGCCGCTCCAGGATCTGGAGAGAGAAACCCACCCCAAGGCACCAGAGAAGAGGAATGGGCATTAGAACACCCGTGGCAGGACACGGCCCAGCAAGGCGGGCGGAGACACCCCATCAGCCCCTTCCTATGCCTGAGTCCTAGGCTTAATCCGCACAGCAGAGCGCTGGGTACTTTTAGTCCAGCTGGCAGAGCCTGGCTGGGAACATGCCACTGCCTCGGGCAGACACATTCCAACCCCCAGGAAATCAAAGGCAAGTTTGTTCTCCTACTGCCTCCTCTCAACCCAGCTTCCCCCAGGGAGAGGCCAGCTCTGGCTGGCTGAGTATGCTGCTCTGTTTCCCAGGTGTAAATCCAGAGCCACGTGCTGAACACAGTGGCGTTATGCTGCATTTACATCAGCGTTGCTGAGAATCCGGCCCGTGAAACTCCAGGTTGCCAAATGGAAAGTATCGCATTATGAATGAGATTTCGCTTTTCCCCTGCACCCACATCTGCATCCCCTACTGGCAGGCTGCACAACCTGGCCCTGCGCCCCATTCAGGACCCTTCAGGCTGGAAAAGATCAGGGCCTCACTCCATTGGCAATTAGTAGCCTGGCTGCAGAATGTCAGCTGAGATCACCCTGAAATGTTGGGTCAAGGCTCCTGCACTTAATGTCATTGGGCTGCGTGGGTGTGACATAGGGGAGAATTGGCTCCTTTGTGTCCAGCTGCATGAGAGAAAGTCAATCCCACAATGCAACTCACCAAGCAGAATAGCAAAAATCTAGAGGGCCTCAATCAACTGGTAACCACTCATGTCCAGCAATATGATTCACAAATCCCTGTGATCCTCCTAGTGCAGAGTGTGAGCCCTGAGTCTCATTCATAAAACCCTGTGATCCTCCCAATGCAGTGCAAGCCCTGAGCCTCATTCATAAAACCCTGTGATCCTCCTAGTGCAGTGAGAGCCCTGGGTCTCGTTCATAAATACTGTGCCCCTCCTAGTGCAGAATTAGAACCCCGGGTCTCATTCACAAATTCTCATGTCTGTCACCTTGCATAAGGCCTGTCTTTGACTTTCATTGCAAAAGTTTTAACAACTTCATAGGGCTCCCCCTGCACTAAGCTTCTAAGTGTGAGTCTCACACGTCTTTGCTGCACGCCTGCCTTCTCACAAGCCCCTTACCCATAATGCAGGACGCTGTACGTAACACCATAAAGACCGCTCCAGTCCAGGGTTCCCTGCTGAGCTGGCTAGCTTAGGCAGTCCAACTGCACAGCTAGCAGGGGCTATGTGATGCTACCAGAGACAGTATTGGCTGTTTCTTACCCCTTTGACTATCTGGTAATTTTCACTGCTCTTCTCTTCGGTGATGCTGGTCTCCTCATCTGTAGTGTGCTATGACGAGAAGACGAGAAAAGAACATCTCTCAAAAAGAGAAAGCTGAAATCCCCCGTGATTATTGGGCTATCCCACATTGACTGGGTACATGTCATCTCACAGTGGAATACACATTTCTAGACACCATTAATGACTGCTTCTTAGCATAGCTAGTCCTGGAACCCAAAAGGGAGAAGTAATTCTTGATTTAGTCCCAAGTGGTGCATGGGATCTGGACCAAGAAGTGGATACTGCTGAACTGCTTGGTAATATCAACCAGAATGTAATTAAATGTAACACGCCTGCAGCAGGGGAAATACCAAAGAACCCCACCACAGTAGCATTTAATGTCAAAAAGGGGAACTAACAAAAATGAGGCTAGACAAAGCCCTGGCTGGGATGATTGAGTTGGGGTTGGTCCTGCTTTGGGCAGGGGGCTGGACTCGATGATTCTTGAGGTCTCGTCCAGCCCTGGGATTCAATGATTCAAGTATTCTAATCTGGCAGGCCAAAAAAAGAATCTGAAGTGCAACTAGCAAAAGACACACATGCTAACAGCAAGACAATTCTGAAATGCATCAGAAGCAGGAATCCTGCCAAACAACAATGGGGCCCCTGGACGGTCGAGCTGTTAAAGGAGCACTCCAGGAATGAATTCTCTGCATCTGAACTCACAGATGGGGATGTGGGGGAGATTCCTAACCCTGAGCCAATCTTTTCCGGTGACAAACCTGAGGAATTGTCCCAGATTGAAGTATCAACGGAAGAGGCTTTGGAACAAATCGGGTAATGTTGCGCCAATTTTTATAAAAGGCTCCAGAGCCAATCCTGGCAATTATAGGCCAGTAAGAATGGAATGATGACAGCAAAGAACAGAATTATCAGACACAGATGAACACAATATGTTGGGGAAAAGTCAACTCTGCTTTTGTAAAGGAAAATCATGCCTCTGGACTGTTAGGCTGTGTCTACACTGGGCCACTTATTCCGGAAAAGCAGCCGCTTTTCCGGAATAAACTGCGAGCTGTCTACACTGGCCCCTTGAATTTCCGGAAAAGCATTGACGATCTACTGTAAGAAATCAGCTGCTTTTCCGGAAAAACTATGCTGATCCCGCTCGGGCAAAAGTCCTTTTTCCGGAAAACTGTTCCGGAAAAGGGCCAGTGTAGACAGCACAGTAGTGTTTTCCGCAAAAAAGCCCCGATCGCGAAAATGATGAAAAGTGCTTTTCCGGAAAAGCATCCTGCCAATGTAGACGCTCTTTTTCTGGAAATACTTATAACGGAAAACTGTTCCGTTTTAAGCATTTCTGGAAATTCATGCCAGTGTAGATGTAGCTTTAGAATTCTTTGCGGGTGTCAACAAGCACATGGGAAAGATCCAGTTTATACAGTGTCCTTAGACTTTCAGCAAAACTTTGACAAGGTCCCAGCCTGCTAGTTCTCCTGGAGCAGCTGCATTACTGAACTGAGAGCCTCACTGACACCCATCTCTGGCATGCCCCATTAAAGAAGCTGAACCCAGAGGCTGCTGAGAGGCAATACTCTTCAATCCCACCGGCCTGATCTGGATTTGAACCCACAACCCAGCCGGTCCCCTGCAATCCAGATAGCTGCTCGGGTGCTCACCTCTTTCTTCTCCTTCTTGGCCCCTTCTCCTGCGTCCTCGCCCTTGGTGCTGCCCTTCTTGTCCACCCAGAGCTCCGACTTCTCCACCATCGTGCGCAGCTTGTCGAGCTCGGACTTGATCACCTTGTAGTTCTCCACGTCCTGCGCTGAGATGAGGAGCTGGACCTGGGACGACAACCCCGCAAGAGGTCACTGCGGCTGAATCAGCGGGTTAGAAGTTTCTCCTACGGCCCTGTCAGGCTGGGGATGCGCTAAGAGTGCTGGTTACCCAGCCCTGGGGCGGTCTGGGAGGCGTGCCGAGCAGCCGCCTTCCACAGATGAGGATCCCAAGACAACTTACACTTGATTCCTGCAGGGCATAGCAAGGGTCTGCAACCCCCCCCCCACCACCAGGCACAGATCCAGGCATCCCCCTTTTCTATGGGCACGCACCAGCTGGCTGCTGGACTGACCTCACACGCTCATTTCACACCATGTTCACATGGGCTCGTCCGTGGCTCACTGCCAGCCTGGCTGGATTTAGACTCTCACCCCGGAAGCGTAACCAATTTACAGCCCCCCTCCCTCAGCCCACTGCGCCCCAGGTGTGGGCCAGGACTCGCGAGTGCTCCCGGCTGACGTGTCTGGGAAGTCCTGGCTGCACGTTACCTGTTTGAAGGTGTGCAGCATCTCCTGCCTCTGGCTGAAGTGTTTGAAGAGGAGCTGGAGGGAGCCGGAGACAAGCGGGGGATAGTCGTGCATGGTCAGGTGGATCAGCACACGGAGAAACATCCTCCCCCCTTCGTCGTCCACCTCTAACATGCTGCTCGACTTCCTGAAGCCAAGGGGAAAGAGCACAGTGTGAGCTACAACCTGTAGCGGGATGAGGGCCTGAAACGTAAGCCCAGGTATCGCAGGCCGGGTCTGAGGCCTAGGCAGCAATGGTCAAGACTTTGCTAACATAAAGCAGAGTGAAGCTGTGAGCGAGAGGCAGGCCTGGCTCACAGAAGTCGGCACGAACAGGGCTGATATTACAGAAAGACTCCTACCGAAGAGGCACCAGGCCTGGGCTGCAAGCACGTTCCAGAGGGGTCGTATCAGAGCACCTCATGAAGAACATCTTGGTACCACCACACAGCCCACAAATAACAGACACACTGACCGTCTACACTGGGTCTACACTGACAGCATGACAGATAGTGTCAAACCCCTCTTGTGAGACGTAACTAAGCAACAGGAGGTGGCAACCTGATACGTCAGGAGTGATGTGTCACTTGTCTGTGCCGGTGTATAAAAGTGCACCCCAGAGAGCGGTTGTTGGCTGACCTAGGGGGCAATGCTGAATCCGTAATGCTGACTCAGCTAGTCCATAGTCACGGGTACATATGGGTAGTGGCGAGTCTATTTGCCGACAAGTAGGACTGTACTTTGCTTGGCAACCAATCTGGCCAAGCGCTTTCGATCCTTATCTGTTCTGTGGTCTTTGGGGGCTCTCGGAGTCTCTCGTGTTGATTAATTACACGGTAGACGGGAGCACACACATGCACACCGCCGAAAGTTTATCATCGACAGAGCGAAAGACCTGCCAGGAACCATCAGGACTGAGGACACAACGCTGTCCGTGGGGCATGGTCCCGAACAGCAGTAAGGGCTTTGTGTTGGCCCGGGCTAGCCCATTGCACTCCAGCGTTAGCCTTTATGGTAGCCCACAGTCTATGCTTTCTGTGGCTTTCAGCCTCCAGGAAGCCACCAGTCCACAGGAGACTGGGATATGGTTTCTACTGGGAATATCACTGGGCAGATTCATTTTCCAGCGGAAAGAAGGGTCCGAGGTACTTACCCGACCCCAAACATGGCCTCTGCCTGCTCGCCTATTTTTTCCAGGTTCATCGCCGCGTCTGAAAGGAGAGGAAGCAAAGGGACCGTCAGCAGGAGAAGGGGACAGCGGATCCAGGCTAGGCAGAAACTCCAGGGAAACAGTCTCAAGCCCCAATCCAAGGAGGGGAAAGGGCTCTCCTGTCACTGCTCAACTCCAGTGGGACTGTGCTACTTCTAGGACTTCACCAGCGTGGGGATTCGCCACGGGGTCTGCGGATGCTTTACCGCCCCTGCCTTTCGCACCTGCCTCGATGGTTCTATGCCGAGCCTCTGGCCACCTCGATGAGGACACACGTCCCGCTGGTATTTCACTGGGGGAAAGCGGGGAGGGAGGTGTCACCATCTGTAACCTGGGGCTTAACCGTGGCAAGGGGAAGAACTTACCACGGATGGGGAGCAGGGAGGAAGCTGGCAAAAGGGAAGAGGGCCCCGGGAAGGAGGCTGCAGACTAATTACTGAGCTGATATTAGGGAGAGACACCTTAGAAACAGAGTGAAAGTGTTTCCCTCGTTTCCTTCCACCTCCATCTCCTCCAGCCAAAAGCATCCTAGCCCCCTGCTGGTCCCTGGCACCAATCAAATCCAGCTCCAGCCCAGCCCATTCAATGCACTGGGTCCCTCTCCCCTTCTATCAGGGGAGTCAACCGGAGCCCGACGGGGCTCTTCACCCTCGTGAGCCGTGCCCCCAATACCAGCCCTAGGCGGCCCTTTCAATCCAAGCTGCCCTGGAGCCTGGCTCTGCCGGTGGAGAGCCAAAGGGACGGTGTGACAGTTACTTGTGGAGTCGAAGGCTGGCGCTGTCCCGTCGGCGCCGCTGTCCTGCATGGGGTAGACCTCGATGAACTCCTTCTTGAAGACGGAGAGCAGGTAGGAGATCCTGTAGTCCAGGCGCACGTTCAGGATGAACTGGGGAGCAGCACAGGCAGGAGAGCAGGCGGGAATT